CCCCCCCCCGAGTTCTCGTAACGTACAGGGTTTTTTTCAGCTTGTTTCCAATTAACCTGCACGGCGAAATCTGTAAAAGACACAGTCCACACTCGACAAGTCAAGGCACGGACCCGATCTAAGGTCTCAAGCCTGCAACACGACCGGAGACACACCCGGACCCCCAGGGGACGACGACGACGACGACGACGAACGGACGACGACGGACGACGACGACGGACGACCAAGTACCACCTAGGCCCCCACCAGAAATCACCGGCAGCACGCGCGCAATAGTAAAGTAGCCGAGAGGCTACGTAGAGGTTCCGGCACTGCCACCGTCTACAGGGACCCCCTCAAGCCTAAAGGAAGGAGTAGTTCGCCCGCGAGAGGATGCAACTAGGAAAAACCTAGACCTGTGTGTACCTCTGCCTCCTATACCATGTTAAGTCGCAAATTATGTGTGTGTGAGGTTGCAATTGTTAATACCGGTTAAGTGAACAGAGAGTCCTCTGTTTCCTTTGATTTTTCAGACTATAATTGACAGACACGAAAAGGACACGGGCTCAAGGTAGGCCTTTTTTTTCAGGGACGGAAGTTTGAGAGTTGTTTCGTGTATTGTTTCTTTTCAGAAAGGTAAGTCTAAGTCAGACTAGATTTACTTGATAAATTGTGAATTTATTGATGGCGGTCAAAACACAAGGGGTACTATGAACCTTCACGTTTCGGGTATTAGATCAATAATCCGTATACCTATTATCTCTACCAGATCGCAATCTTAGATACTTAAAATTTAAGGTTTTCTTTGGAGATTACCGCGAAAAGGTGGCGCCCTGGAGAGCATGCCGAACCGAACCATACCAATCCGGAACCATCGGGTCCGAGTGAAATACGAAACAAAGGTAATGTCAAATCATTGTCCCCATCATTGATATCATTGCGTCACATCCGCCCGCGCTAGCCGACAAACCGCCCGCCTTGCTGCGACGCATTTTGACGACACTTTTAGTTTATATTTGTCGGCAGCTCTGCCAGATCAGAATTTATTACTCTTTTATTATCGAACACAATTTATATATCCTTTACTGACTAGAGTAGGTGGCGACTAAAGACAAAACTTTTGGTTTGTTCCGAAGTACCATAAAACATGTTCGTGGACTGTTAGATATCTCTTCTCCGATATGCTTCTGCTGCCGAAGTGCGTGTCTTGTGGACTCTCTTTGCTGGTCCTCCCGTCGCGACCTGCTTTTTGTTCCCTCTTCTCTTCTATTTGGTGATGTCAATAGAACCCTCTTTTTTTCAAGTCCCGGTGCCTCCGTGAAACACCAGGAAAATGGTTGTTTTTTACCGTCCCCCCCCCCCCCCCCAGTCTTCGTAAACTACAAGGTTTTTTTTTTCATGGGCGATCAAGCCTTAATGGGATACCTTTTCGTTGTTTTTTTTGCACGAAGCACGGACGTCTTCCCCTTTTTGTCCAGCAAAAACATCTGTGATGCCGTTTTGTTGTAAAAGACCACAAAGTGCTCCGTGGCCCTGAACTTCTCCCAAGATACTTTAGTGTTATCTTTCTCTTCTCCCTTGTTTTTCGGGGTCCCGCGCTGCCCCCTCCTGGTCGTCTCTCTCAGGTGTTCTGTTCTGTGCGTGAGCCGTCGTCTCTTCTAGCCTCCTCTCTATAGATGTCAGGTGCTTGTACAAATACCATGAGCCTTGTTTGGTTTTTAAAACAGAAATCAGCGGTGGATGAGATCAGTCATTTCTATATATTTAACACAAGCTATTATTCTCATTTTAACTAGACCGTCTAGACGGCTGTTTATATTTGATTTTCTCCTTCACATAGTATATTAGGTGCTCTACTTGGAGTCAAACACACTTCCTATCGGTATAACTGCTATGTTATTTTTATTTTCTATCAGCTGTGAAGATGAATTGATTGTTCTGATAATCAGGACAGGACTACTAGTACAGTGTGTGTCTGGATTAAAAGCGTTACGACACAGTGCTGGCCTGACAGAGTTCGTTTTTTAATCGAACAGATCTTTGTGCTTGTATAAAAGCATAGTCTGGTGCCAACTTCTCATAAAAGTAAACAATCCTTTTTTAATTGTGTAGGCAATAAGTTGACGCAGGTTTGCAGTGTGTGGCTCAAACAATGGTCAGACAGTCTGCTGTTGTGTGTTTGGATCTATTCGATTGGCTCTTGGGACAGGTCCAGCCCGTGCCTGGTTACATGAGAGGGGATTGTGGGATTTATTTTTGGTTGCTCGCTCATATCCAGCCATGGTAGGGGTGTGTTCAACACGGCCATTTAGCATTCAGTACAAGTCGCTGTCATTCATGTTGGGCTTAGAGAGGTCCGAGAGATGTAGTTGCTGTTCTGGATTTACACAATGCTGCTGTGTGGGAGAGAAGTCAACAGGGGCAGAAACTGCCCATGGTGATCGCTTTTTCTACTCTTCTCAAGCAAGACCCTTTTATTTATAAAACACTTGTTAGAGATTAGACTGCTTTGAGATGAGGTGTGTTTGCTTTGAACATGAGCCTTTCTTTTCACAGTGCCTTTTATAGTCTAAGGGGATATTTGTTCCAACGAGAATCGAGTAGTAGCATGAACAAAAAGAAATGCCAGATCATTAACAAAAAAAGTTTTCCTTCAAGTCTGTACGTGGCACACCTCCAGCTGCTGCCTTGTTGAAGCTACAAAGTGGATTTTGTAGTTGAAAGCTAGAGAGCAGAAGTAGAGTGGTCGCCCCCAAGCCACCTAGCGATGAAGCACTTCCTGATAAAACTTGAAAGAAAATAGAAAAAAAAAAAACTAGAAAAGAATCCGTGATGGTGTCTGTCGTGGCGTGAGGGGTCGCCTCCCCTGGGTGGGGTGGATAAGAGCTCGCCTCCACAGGAGAGGAAGTCTTTTCTGTCCCATTCCGCTTTTGATTTGTTTGACCCCGTCTGCCCGGACCTGCACACTGACTCTAACCCCCCCTTTCTCCAGTAGAAACCTACTACCCGGTAGGCTTGATATTCTGTTGAATCTGCTTCTGGATGCTTGCAAGTTCTCCTTGTTGTGTTTTTTCTTCTTCCTTTGCCTGCATAACCTCTCAGTCAGTGTTTCAACTGAATGTGCAAATTGTAAATAATACTGCAGTCACGTTTTTTCGTTTTTTCTCTGTTTGTCTGGAAGAAAAACATTCACCAAAGGCTTCTTACCTCACCCCCTCTGCCCCACAGTGGATTGTAATGAAAGTGAATCCATCCCTTTGGTGATCTACATCCTCTGATTGTTGGTTGTCTGGGTTACGCTCACTGGTGACTGTTGTTCTTCTCAAAATGGCTTTAATATTGGCTTCTTTGGAGCTCTCCATGTCACATAAGCTTTGTCTTCTTTCAAAAGAATGAAGTGTCCTTTAGTATAGGTCTCATACTAAATGGCTTCTAATATTGTACATATAATGTACTTTTATTTTATGTTATAACTATTAAATGGTAGATTTCATATTTTGTACAAAACCTTGTGTACAGAATACAGAGGTTATTATTAGCAACTGCAGACAGTTGGTATGTGGCACAGACTTCAACACACGTGACTATTTACATTTAGAGAACCTTATAGAATTTGGATAGTTTTGTAACTATTTGTAATCTGACATCTTTTCCGTTTTTCATTTTCATCTTCACACGTGTTGATATTCTACATAAATGAGCTTTTTGTGTGTGTGCTTTTATCCAAATCTCCAGTGGTGTTCATCTATCTATATACAGCAAATAAAGAGAACATGTGAGTTTTATATTTTCATCCTAAAAAAAACTTTTCTGAGTCGTTATTGATCGCATTCAAGCTATCATGTGAGTCTCCCTATGTTGTGAACTATACAAGATTGCAACTTGTAGAAATGTACAATGTTTTACATTGAATAAGCAACTCAAACTCTCAATTTGAATATGTAAAATGTATCTGTCACCACGCATTATTGCAGAATGAGTATGCAGACATTCAGGTAATGCATTCACCTTTGTTTCTTTTGAATTCTGGTATAGCATGTATATAGATTATATGAATAGGATACATTTTACTGTTTTCAAATGTCACGTTAGTTGAACTTTTCTTTAACCTCAAACCAAACTGCAAGGAAACAAAATCTCTAAATTATATTAGTTTTTTTTGTAATCCCTGTTTAAAAGGAAATGTAGTCCTTGGCTGCCCCCTGCTGGAAAACAGAAGGTAACATTCAACACCTCAGAGCCTGATGATTCATATCAAGCTCTTCAAAATCATACACATTTCTGATTGCTGCCGTGTTGAGTCCCATTTTTACTTTGAAAGCTCTTGGTTTATACAATCAATCAAGTGTTTATACATCTCCGTACAGTTTAACCCTATGGTTTAACCTCACAATTGGAGCATTTAAACGAAGGGTTCAGAGTTTACTTCGTCGTTCAGACAAATATCTGACTGAAGCAAGAAAAAAATCAATGCCTCACCCTTGATATCTTCTTCATTAAAGCTAAAATAATTATATTTAAATGTAGTCTTTTGTGTTAGGCAACACGCTGCTAACAAACATGTGATCCAGTCACTACTCTCTTGTCCCTAATAACTATTTAAAGACTCAGCATGGTTGCAATTTCTCTTGTTAAACAGGGTGTGATGTCATGTGACTTCTCTGGTTTGAAATCGGTTATTTTATCATGCTGCAGCACTGAACTAGGACACATTTAATTCATGCGTTACTGAATAAACAGGTTTAACTCATAAGCAGTCATACTTTGAAGGACACTGCTTGTTTTTCTTTGGGAGATGTTGCTAGGCTATCAGCCTTTCAACGATGCACTCTGCTTTGTTTTGTCTCAGTTCCTCTTTTCATTTGAAGACAGCAGTGAGGTTTGGCACCCCCCTTGTGTCTAGCACCCCTGCAGGGATCCGAGCTGAACCCAGATGAACCTTGCAGGGATTCAGAAAACAAACAGACATATCTCGCCCCTCAAACACCAACAAACAAACATCCGGCTGCTGCTGTGACGGTGATGATGACACAGTGGATAAGACAGTGCAACCGTTGTGTACATTTCTGCTTTGAACTTTATTATCAGAGGGATTACACTGATCCTATTTTCATGGCCAAAGATGGATTCATCTAGCACTGGAAACGTGTGAAACATAATAGCATAATAGCCTTTGTCTCTAATTACCGCCCTAACGAGGATGCAAATTGTCTGCCACAAAAAAAGACCCTCTTCGCCTCATTATCAA